GAGGATATTTTGGTGTCGAAATGCCATTATGATTCGGAAGCGTATGTCTTGTTTTTATGATTTTTTCGTTTATTGTGAGGATGAATATCGTTGTTATATTGAACTATATAACTTCATAATATCATTTGATATGCGATATTTAATATAATATATTCATTATTCATAATATATCAGTCCATAACATCATCTACAGCGCAACATATATCTGAAATAAGTGCGCAAACGTTAAAGAAAGTACAAACACAAACAGGAAAAACGGGAAAAACGGAGTGAATGGATTTGACCCAAACATGAAGCGTTGCGGACTTCAAATATTTGGCCTTCGTGTGCCATCTTGATTGGGGGGGGGGAGCGCCGTTACGCAGAACTGCCGGTTTTTATTTAGTATAATTATATGTACGAGTATGTGTGCATGCGTACATTCACATCCTCATACGCCACACACATATATTTATTTTTGTATGTATAAGTGCATATACATATATATATATATATATATATATATATATAGAGAGAGAGAGAGAGAGAGAGAGAGAGAGAGAGAGAGAGAGAGAGAGAGAGAGAGAGAGAGAGAGAGAGAGAGAGAGGGAGAGAGAGAGAGACAAGTAAACGCACATACATATATGTGTATGAAAGTGTCAATGTATGTATATAGACTCATAAAACGCCCTGTACGCATCCACGCCACGAGGCCGCGTGTATTTCCGCCTCCGACGCCAGCAGAGGTTTCCCAAGACGCCGAGTCACCGGCGGCGGCCGAACAATGGGCAGCATTTCCATCGGCCGAATCGCGTGTTATCTCGAACGGGGGAGATGTGGGTCATCCTCCTGCGTTCACGAGGAAATAAGACTGTGGTCGAGTCGTATGGAGAACCGGGGGGAGGGAGGGGGAAGGGGGAGGGGGAGGGAATGGGGGGGTCGAAGGATGGGCTTGCCTGAGGATGGGGGATGGGGAGAGGGGAGAGGGAGTGGGAGAGGGAGGGGGAGAGGGGTGGGGTCGACGCGTTCCCAAGCTCGCCGGGTCCCGTTAAGCTCGACATTAAGGTACCGTTGTGCGACCCTCTCTCTCTCTCTCTCTCTCTCTCTCTCTCTCTCTCTCTCTCTCTCTCTCTCTCTCTCTCTCTCTCTCTCTCTCTCTCTCTCTCCCTCTCTGCTCATTAACATTACTTCTTAATCGAAAGACGCAGGATATTTCCTTTTTACTTGAAATAACTAGTGACTACCGCCTGTCCATAACTGAACTTTATTTTCTTTATTCATACATATATTTTCTAGAAACGGGACATGGATTCCTTTTATAGAATATACAGCATACAATTAACCATGTTTTGCTGTGGGTATTGTAGAGATTCCATTGACACTTAAAAAATAACAAATAATTGTACGACTATGATACAGCACATTCACATTAACGTTCAGTCTAACACTAATACCTACCTGACATTGAATATATATATATATATATATATATATATATATATATATATATATATATATATATATATATATATATATATATATATATGTATATGTGTATGTATAAATATGTATATATATATATACATATATACATATGTATGTATATATATATATATATATATATATATATATATATATATATATGTGTGTGTGTGTGTGTGTGTGTGTGTGTGTGTGTGTGTGTGTGTGTGTATGAAAGTGAGCCATCTATCTTTCTCAATATATATCTGACGGTGCAACTACCATGACATACGACAGCAGTCAACATTATAAAGCAATACACAAGCTTTAACACCTGCTTCATTCGTAATGAGAACTATTCACCAGCGCGAGGAAGATGTTGTGAATACTGATTGACAAGGGTACGGGACGCTGACCAATAACTGTTTCTTTTAATCATTATTATTTTCACCCAAGCTGTCGACTTCAATAAAACTAAATTAATACAATCGCATTACTCATCATGACAATAAACTTAATTTCTTCTCTTAATCAAAATCAAAGCAAGCGACCGTGAATGAATACCGCATTCTTAGTCCCTCATTCACATTCCGAAATTTAAAAAAAAAACAAAAATGATCAGGTGGCAACCCTAACCGCATTTCTATCAGGTGCACGCAACTGATGACCTCATTACGGAAAAAGACGCGTTGGCAACCGAGAGAATTCGGCGGGTGACCTCCCGTGACCTTGACCAAGGGTTACGCGTTCGAAAGAGGGTTTTGGAACTGTAGAATTAAATAGGTAGATAGACATATGACAATAAACAAGTGTGAGTGTAAAGGGGAACTAATGATGAATGGACTGACTCAAAGATAGATGACGATAAACAACAGTAATATAAATTACAATAATAGTAGAGGTAACAGTAATACTGATGATAATGAATAATAATAACGAATATAGTTATATATATTATGCTAGAAATAAGAAATAAGTGAATAAATTGATAACGCAAAACCCCGCCCCAAGGTTGAAGTTGTAAGTGTGTCTTTTATTTTGTCAAATCATCCTACACGTGATGTGCTGTGGACTAAATACCTACTGGAAGCTTTTTTTGTGAGCTGAGACGAAGATATAAATGGGGCACAGTAAGAGTGAGATGTCAATGTACTGGATAATAAAATGCACGTAATTATATGACACGAGAAGACACGAGAGGACAAAATGAAACCTAGTGACAAATGTAGGAATTATCCCGAAACGTTTCGAAATGTCCAATAGGCTCGTTATCCTGACATCAACATCTTACGTCATTTAATTTATGAATTCATTATTTACCAAATAAAAGATGAATCCCTAGAGGTTACTGAGTCATGGGAATGTTAATAAGGGATAGGAGAGGGAGGATAGAGAAAGAGGGAGGGGAAGAAGAACCTTGCACACAAGAAAGTGAATTTTCGGGGTGAATCATCGGGGAAAAATCGGCGTTGGTATGTGGGTCCGGAAGGAATTTCAAGGGGGAGGGGGAAGAGAAACGAGCGAGTGAATATTGATAAAACACAAGAACACTTTCCATTGTTTCTCGTCTTATTGCCGTAGTATTTCACTTTATTTTTGTTTGCACTCATGACTATGTTACGAGTAAAAAGATCTGTCTACCTACCTACCTATCAGTCTATCTATCTATCTCTCCTTCTCTCTATCTATCTGTATATATATATTCTCAGTACTATTGTCTTTTCCATTTTGTTTAATGTCATAATTTCCGCATTTCACACGTTAATGGATTCCCCGAAGTAAAGATTTCACTCGAAGAAAAGGACGCTCTCTATGATTTACGATGATGGTCGGAAACGAAATATAAATACGATATTTCGAAGTGTATGTTTTGTATTTCTTGAGGTGTAATTACAATATACATTTATGCACTAAGCATATTTCAGATATGAAAACAGAACACAAACAAAACAGCAGAGAGAGAGAGAGAGAGAGAGAGAGAGAGAGAGAGAGAGAGAGAGAGAGAGAGAGAGAGAGAGAGAGAGAGAGAGAGAGAGAGAGAGAGAGAAAGCGAAAAAATAAAATTCTGAAAATGGTATCACGAGCAGCAATACGACTGACCCACTGTGATTCCTGTTTATGTGCCCGGACTCCCTGCATGACTAATACATAACCTCGAAAAAAGGCAGTATTGTGCAGCAAAAGAATTATACATAGAGACGGAACGGTACCGGAGTGACATCCTGATACCTGGTATGTGTAGTTTAGGGGGATGTGGGGGTGGTTGGGGAGGGGAGGGGGTAGGGAGGCGGTGGTGGAGGGGGTAGTCTTGGGTACCGATCAGCGAACCTGAGAGTGAATCATCCGGGCGCTAAGGTCGAGGCCTACGTATGAAGAAGGTTGCAGATTCGTCTTTTCCCGGTTGCACTTTAGCTTGAGTTTGCAGTACAGTTCAATCAAAAATATGATCGTGACAATAACTCCGGGGATGCTAATAAGTTGATGTAAAACTGCCTTGACTTCGATTTGCTCGGCAGTGTCTTAGTGCCAGCAAGCGAACATCAGCACAAACACAATGACCAGTTCCTAACGATATGATACCAACCCACCTGAACCCGCACCCCCCCTATTGCCTTCTGCCCCATTGCCTGCCCCTCCCCTGCCCCCTCCCCTGCCCCCCTCCCCTCCCCCCTCCCTAAAAAAGCGGGCGCTGCCAGAACAACTATGAGCCTTGTCTTGGCAGCCCGGGAGTCTTGGACAGCAGATGGAGACGAAGCAGTAAGTCGGTTCCAGCGCCTCCAAGAAGCTTGACCCCAACAGCTGGAGGAGAAGCCGAAGGAGGTCAGCCCGCCCCTATCACGCAGAAGGCGGATGCGACCCGGGCGGCTATGAGGCTGCTATGACAACACCCTGCAAGACCGGGGCAGCGCCAGGAGGAGGTGGCACGCGCCCAAGACTTGCAGGGAAGGTCGCCAGGCTGGGAGGACAACGACCCCGCTCCGGCTGCGCTGCGCCACCTGGACGGGGCTGCTGCTAATAAGGCGCTGGCCGGACATGCTCATCTGATCTTTTATTTGTTTGTTATTGTTTATTTCCATTTTGGTTGTTAATCCATTTCGCGAGTTGACTGGAATTCGCTCCGTTCCATTCTATTCCTTTCAGCAGGTTATTGTGTAGCAGTTTTGTTTGTATTTATATTTTTGTACGCATTTATTTCTGTTTTGATTTGGGTGTATCTTATAGTTACGGTGTCTTTTCTCCTGTTGCTAGTAAACTTTTGTTATAACTTTTGTTATAAGTGAACATCTAAGGTATCGATTAACAAAGGTATTACTGACAAGGAAAAGGTGACTAATTAAATTGGTAGAAAGAGTGACATTTTGATAAAAGCAAAACACTAAAACAGAAAGTTAATAGGAACAACAATGGCCATGATAAAACGACGCAACAATAGTATAAACAGATAGGAGGATTATGTACATTAAGCATCGGTTAAGCAAAAGTCAAGAGTCGCACACAAGAACGTCGTTGGAGTCCAGGGGAGCACCGTCAGAAGAGGAAGGACCTTGGGCTGTACTTACTGCTGAAGACGGACGCCGCGATGGACGGTTGGCTGGCTGGTCTTTGCGCCCGCACGGGGTGTCCTGCCAGGAACACGACGGAGGCCAACCAGGCGATTCTAACCACACTAAGACGCATCTTTGCCGTCTAACACTTGTATTCCAAACGCTCCCACGGGCCTCCTCCTCTGAGGGGAGGCTCTACAACTAACAGTCTTTGGCTCCTTCACGCTCGCTATTCTCTCCTCCGGGCTCACCGACGTGGCAGCGGCAGAGTGTACGGTTAAGATCTTAGCCTTCAGCCTTGGCGCTAAGCTCCATCGTCGCAGGGGCGTCACGCAGGGGTAGAAGAGAGATCCTCGTCTTCTGGATTGGAACGCGTCGCAGCTGGGGGGAAAAAGAGGGAACGCTGAGTTAGTTATGCACATTGCGATATATCTAGAGAAAAATTCTAGGAAAATTTACCCTTCCTCCCCGCCCTGGGCACCAAAACGGGGGCAAATTCCGGTTCAGATACTGGTTTTATAGTTCTTACTCTGTTTGTGAATTTGTTTGGACAATCTGGTTTTAGCTGAACCCCACAGCCTTGTTTATACTGGTAACTCCGTATCACTGTTGCATGTATAAAATACAGGTTACTAATGGCACATTGCAAAGAATGCGTGAAAGATTAGACGAGGGAATAGAGAGAGAAGAGGAGAAGAGTAGGGACGAAAACAGAAAAGAAATCAGAACAGAGAAGAACAAAAGGCACGGATCGAAAGGAGAAGAAAAGAAAAGAAGACGAAGAGGCATAGGAGATCAGAGGAAGAGACGAAGAGAGGACAGGTAGAGCAGCCTCGTCCCCTTCGGGTTTATCACTCGCGTCCTCAACACACTTCCACGCGGCTGCGACCTGCCTGGGAGTTATTGACCCCGGAGTCTCGCTTTCTGTCAAGAGCTCTAGTTATATGTCTCGAGGACCGATTTTGGATTGGAACTTCCGTGGCTGATTATGTTTTGTTAACGTTTTCTGTCTTTTTATACACACACACGTGCACGCACGTACGCACACATATATATTTTTTTAGGTGGGAGAGGTCTAAACCACATATATATATATATATATATATATATATATATATATATATATATATATATACATGTATATATATATATATATATATATATATATATATATATATATATATACATACATATATATGTGCGCGCGCGCACACACACACACACAACACACACACACACACACACACACACACACACACACACACACACACACACACACACATATATATTCAATTCTAATCTTACTGAGACCTTAAAATAAGATGAAATATGTTACACCGGTGTCAACGTATGTCAGATAATCAAAGGAATTGCAGTTAGGCGATTCCTTTGAAGATTGAAACAAATTCCGTGAATAACTCATGCGATTCAGACTTCGCTACGTAGCGGGTCTTTGTGTTAACCTAATTTAGCAACCTTTGCTAAGAATGTGAAACTGAAATAACTGTCGATATGTTATTTTGTTTTCTATGGTGCTAATAACAAATACGCGGATAAATAAATCAATACGGACAAATTGCTAAATACTGATAGTCTCTGGATTTTGAAAATAGATATGCTAATGCGTATAATAATAGACATATAAATATATTGATGCTTAATATTAGTATTCATGATTTGAAGTGCAATGTTTTCGTGGTCTGAGAATTGGAAAAAAAAAATAATTACTCCTTAACAACAAAATATGACCGAGATAAAACAAAACAAGAATTAGAGAAAATATAATTAAAACGTGTCCCCGGCGTCTCATTACGCACATTCTCATTGACCATAAAACGATACACATTAAAGTGAAAAAAATATCTTTCGTCTATGTTTCCAGTCTGAAAATAATCCTCAATCTTCACCTAGTTAGTGACTTTTCCACCGTACGTCAAAATAGGTAGATTGGTTAACCCACTAAGAACTTGATTATATATTTGAAGACACCGCGTGGTTCGGCGGGAAAGCCGGCAAGGCTAACTTACGGTGTTTAAATATTCTAACGCGTAATTATAATGTTTAAATCTCTATATTTTCGAACACACACACACTAATCTATACGTGTGTGTGTGTGTGTGTGTGTGTGTGTGTGTGTGTGTGTGTGTGTGTGTGTGTGTGTGTGTGTGTGTGTGTGTGTGTGTGTGTGTGTGTGTGTGCGCGCGCGCGCGCGTGTGTCTATTACGCCGTCACGTTCTGCATGAAACACCCACATGACAATATTATTCTTTCGTGACCGGAAGTGTCGGCAACGCAAAGATGCAAGAAGCGGTTGCAATGAATTAGATGAGGCTGAGATGTTTATCGCTCTCCATCTTACATCTTTTCCCCCCTTACTCTTAATTAACCTCTTTTTCTCTTACAGTCTCTCTTTTTTTCTCTCTCTACACACACACAAACGCATATATGTATATATGCATACATAAATGTGTGTGCGTGTGCGTGTGCGTGTGTGTGCTGTTATATGCGTATACGTGTATATGTATATGTATATATGCATATATATATATGTATATACACATATATAAATATATATACATATATACACATATATCCTCCTGGTGCCTCCCTGGAATAACGGCGGGAGCGTGACTGCGCCCAGCCTCGCCCCCCTCATATTCGAGGCAAGAGACAGACCTCACGAAAGTGGGTGATCCTAAGGTCGCCATATGTGTGATTTACGGTACTCTTTTTTGTTTTCCTTGTTTTTGTTTATGTTGTTTTTGTTTTCGTTACCTATCAACAACTGTACTGGTTTGCGTGTGTTCTTAGGCTCTGATTAGCTGAAATTTATAATATAACATTCATGGTTAAGGTGGTATCCTTAATTTTGACGTACATCCCGTCAAACAGGAGATGGAATTTATGGGGTAATATAATTATCAAGTATTCCAAAATGGCCTGAGGTTCTTCGTTAACTTTGTTACAAGTTTAATTAAAATTGTTTCGTTCCATTTCAGTTTAATGGAACATATTTTTTTCTGATAAGAGCTTCAGGCATGATTATTTAGTAACAGGAAATGAAAAAAAATCTAAAAATCCCCTACAGGCAATAACACATCCTTTTTAATATCTCTGCGTACACTGTTTGAGCTTGGGTACATTGGGGACAATCGGTACACAGCGAAAATGTAGTGTAAACTAATTCTCAGAATATTTCCCCGCCAGTAAGTGCATTTTATGGTTTTGGCGTGAATGGCATTTTAAAGTTTGAAGCCGATAAAAAACGCAAACTTTTATATTCCTGAAGTTGGTAAAGTGAAAGAAAATTTATCAGACTTTGCCTCCTAAAGCTAATAGTAAAACATAATCGCATCGACTATATACACAACTATATATCTCCTTATGCTATACAGTACTATAATTACCAAGGGAATTTTTTGGGATCAAAAAATATCTACGCTATTGCCAAGACCATATTAAGAACAAGTAATTTATCCTTGGATGTATAAGGACGCTGGGTGATTTTGAACCTTTCCATTTTGGGGCGGACCGTCTATTGCAAGATGAAACAATGCTACAAGAAAAAAAATCGTATGTCCATTTCTTCTTCTCACTCCGGCATTGTTTTATTTTTTCCGCGTATTACTGTGTTGGCAAGTTCGAGTCAAAAATAAAACCAAAAAATAAGCACCGTACATAAGAGACCGCGGGGTTAAAGTGACCATCGCGAGAGTCAGGTGCTCGGACTACCAGGAAGACTGAGGTTGTTTATAAGGTACCTGGCCACACCACCAGCAGTAGAGAGGTAACCTGGACCGTTATCTACTCGCATGCTGCTGCTCCCCTACTTCCCTTACCCCCTCCCCCCCGTCTATGGAAATCACCTGGTACGATTCCATAGCAGTGGTGTTTGTGTCTCTGAAATTCCGGATTTTAGATTACAGTATCATTATCTTTTCTAGTTTTAGTGGTCTTTTGGGGGGTTTAAATAAGTGATTGGTATCCCAATACACCAAGACGAAATAAAAATATATTCATGGCCATTACCATCAAGTAGTAGTGAGGAATCGACAGGAAAACTGTACATTCCACTCACAGCGCGTGCGTGGCCGCTTGCACGTTCGGTCCTCGGCGCGCGTGCGTTACGAATCACTGCCAGAACAAGGGGGTTTAAGTGCGCTTTCCTCAACAATTTACCACTAAAACTAGGGAAAAAGTGGACGAACCGATTGACAAAACACGACTGTGATGATAAAACTACCGAAAAAACCTGCCACAAGCTAGGTTTTGGTGAATCTTTTTGGCTTTTTGAGTTGTATAAATATATATTTTTTTATTCTGAAAAGTTCAGTCTTGTATGGCATTTACTAACCTTATTCTTGAGACATGAACTGAGCTATGTTTTTACAAGACGCGTGTGACACACATTTTTGAGCCGATTCACTTCTCCACAGTTCCGATTTCTGTTTCGAGCTGTATATCCGTCTGTCTGCCTATCAGTCTGTCTGTCTTTTATTGTTCTGTATTGCCTTTTCTTTATTATAACAAAATACCATCTACAAGACTGTAATTTAAAGTATGAAAAGGTTTAGATAACATTGTTCTTTTGTTTTCTATAGACACTGTCATCTTCAGTTCCATAATCGCCACAATCGCGCCATTAAAGCTAATCTCACCGTTATTATCTACACTACTAATTAAAATATCAGTGTATGAAATAAATAGAAAAAAGTCCCTTTAGAAAATTTAACAAACGATCTCAAACTCTTCTGGTCAAGTGAGACACCCTTCGTCTTAAGCTCCTGAAGAGGAGAACAGTTTCGAGTCGAAACGTCATCGATTTTGTGTTGTATTTATTACTGTAGCTGCGTTTCACTTGTATGGCGACTGGTTATCATATATACAAGAAAATTAGGAATATAATTCTAAAGTTCGGGAAAAAAGTTACAATTATAAACCCGGTGATTTCAATGCGTCACGAAGTAGTTAACTCAGGTGTGATGGCTCTCCCAGTTTGCTTCTCTTACTTGCATATATGCAACAAACTGAAGCATTGATGATTGAATTAACGTTTTGTGTGTACATACATGCAGATAGATAAATGTATATACATATATATATATATATATATGTATATATGTATATATATATATATATATATATACATATATACATACATGTGTGTGTGTGTGTGTGTGTGTGTGTGTGTGTGTGTGTGTGTGTGTGTGTGTGTGTGTGTGTGTGTGTGTGTGTGTGTGTGTGTGAGTGTGGGGTGTGAGTGCGTGTACTGTGCGCGTGCGTATGCAGTATGTATACGTACACAATTGTCCCCATAGTGTATTCGTGCACCGCCTCCCACGCTTGGACCCGTGACCCAAGAAAATTTGCCACGAGAACCC